ACCGGGGGGCCCGTGGCGGCGCCACGGGCTGTCCCCCAGCCGCAGCCGCTTTGAGGTGCACCTGTTCCAGTGTGGCCTTCTCCATGGGCCGCAATGCCTTCAGGGATGTACCTGCTGCAGCACAGACACTTCGAGATGTGCCTGCTCTGGCATGGACTTATCCATGGCCACAGATGCTTCAGGGTGTCTGGCTCCCACATGGACTCACCCACAGGTCACAGTCCCTTCAACTCGAGTTCACATTGGAGTTCCAGCCTGTCCAGCACAGCAGCACAAAACCAGCAGCAATGCCCTGGCCATCTGCCAGCCCAGGCACATCGCCACGGCTGTTATCAAAATGTCCCCAGGCACAGCAGAGTAAGATGATAAGCACTATAGTAGTACAGCAAGCAGCGAAAGCAAAAAGCAGCCACTAACGAATGCTAGACTCTGATGTACGGTAAGGCAAGTAAGCCCCATGGCAAGCACAGGAGCCTGTCAATTAATACCTAAACAGCAAAAATAGCTATAAATTTGATCTGGCATATTCCAATCAAACCTGTTGCTATCTGGAAGCCTTCAAGGCCCATGTTGGGCACCAAAAAGTACTGTCGTGTTCTAACCCCAGCCAGCAACTGAGCCCCACCCAGCTGCTCACTCACTCCGCCCCCCCCAGTGGGATCGGGGAGAGAACTGGAAGGGTAAAAGTGAGAAAACTCATGGGTTGAGATAAAGACAGTTTAACAGGTAAAGCAAAAGCCACACATGCAAGCAAAGCAAGGAATTCATTCGCTGCTTCCCATGGGCAGGCAGGTGCTCAGCCATCCCCAGGAGAGCAGGGCTCCATCACGCGAAATGGTGACTTGGGAAGGCAAACGCCATCGCTCCAAACATCCTCCCTTTCCTTCTTCCTTCCCCAGATTTATATACTGAGCATGATGTCCAAGGGCATGGGATATCCCTTGGGTCAGTTGGGGTCAGCTGTCCTGGCTGTGCCCCCTCCCAGCCTCCTCACTGGTGGGGTGGGGTGAGAGGCAGAAAAGGCCTTGGCTCTGTGTCAGCCCTGCTCAGAAGGAACAAAAACATCCCTGGGTTAGCAATGCTGTTACCAGCACAAATCCAAAACACAGCCCCGTACCCGCCACTATGAAGAAAATTAACTCTACTCCAGCCAAAACCAGCACATCCAGCTACTGAATATGCTTGAGCCTGGGACTTCAGAACTACCGGCAGAACTGAAGCTGTGTGTCACCCCTTGCAGGAAAAATAATACTGATGGGCTTAGCCATATGAATCCCTACAGGGCAGGTCTGGTCCCGGGTGTGTTATTTTGTTTTCTATATACGTCGCTTCTGTTCTGAACTGAAGCAATCAGAAACTTTTTGCAGATTTTAGCAAGACTGAATTTCCAGCATCTCATTAATAGGTCAATAAAGCACAAAGTATTTTCGAAATAACAATGATTTAATTCCCTAAGAATAGTGCTGACGAATCAATAATGAACCTCCAGCAATCCCTATTAATAAAGACAGCATATTCAAGAAATTTTGTCTTTAGCAGCAGAAGCTAATTTTAACAAGACATAATACACAATTTTAAAGATTTTCAGAACAGTATAGATTGTTGTCACGACTTGTACAATTCTTATAACACCAAAGAGAGTCCAGGTATATAGCAGCAACAGCACTCCTCTTTTCCTCTGCTTTTTGGCTGGCCAGGAGCAATCAATAAATTGAAAATATTGAACAAAAGGAATCTTTAGCAGAATTTGAATACAACTGAAAATATTGGCAAGGACATCTCCCCATAGCTGGATGCCAAGAAGTGCTAAATGCACATGCTTGTGTGTAGCTGGGGTAAAAAACTGCGACTTCATCCATTGCTTGCACATTTAAATAAAGCTATAAATGCTAAGAAATAGGCCTGCCATTTCACACATCTGCTTTTGAAGTGGAATTGTTCTGTTTATTATTCCTGTGCCCTCACACCTCCAGACAGACTTACAGTCTGTGAAAACCATGGACTAAATGAAGAGGAAAGAGGACTGGAGAAACTGAAAAGTAACAAACTACTTTTTCCTTGCCTTGGGAAAAAACACGCTCATGCACACAGCAATTACTAAAGGATTACTAAACAGAAGCAACCACAGGCGTTTATGTTTCCTGTCTCCTCTAAACTTCTGCTGGTGAAAATCAAAGCCTTAAGTTTCAAAACAACCCACATTATGAAACTAAGTTACACTAAAGAAGTCATATTTGACAGCAGATTTATCACAAGATTAATACAATTTTACGTTGACTTCTGATAGTTCTGTTCACTTAGATTACTTTGTTTTGAATGTATATACTTGGTAAGAAGTTGGAAACAACAGAATGTGAACACCAAGGCAAAACTACCAAATGATACACAGGACATCTTTATTACGCTCACTTGCTTATGTTAATACCGAATATAGAAGCGGTCCTCTTTTCTAGGAATTAAAGTAACTATAAGAAGTTATTTTACAATTCCAAATTTCTTGGGAAAAAAGGGTTGCTCTATATTTCTATATATTACAGGATTAATCTGTACAGACAAAGGGTTCTTATTTGAATACTACAAATTATTTCATCAGATTACCAAAAAAAGACCATAAAGCTTTTAGTTTACAGAAATACAGCTACAAGCACAAGACATACAATGCTTGCATTCTTACTGGAGCTCTGCAATCTACTGGAAAGCTGGGAGGTTTATGTTCTTCTTCCTTTTATATAAAAGTTACAGATTTCATTGCCAAACTCCTGTTCGCTGTTGGTTATCACCAGAATGCTCAAAAAACATGAAGTCCTAAGAAGGAAACAAAAAGCAAACAAAACAAATATTTTTTAAATGCGGTTCTTACTTCAGAGATCTCCTGGTTGCTTTGCAAGGTATTCAAAGCACCTTCCTCTCAGAAACCTCAAATGATGAGAAGAAGGTGGGGGCACCTCTCTCCATCCCCCCATCACCTGGGTCTCTCAGAATAGGACACCCACAGAGACAGAAAGAGGTGCTGAAAGACCTACGTGGAAACTTTAAATTATCACTAGCCAAAGTTATGCTTCCTTTACTCAGGATTCCTGCCCTGGCTTTGTTCAACCTGACTCAGTCCCTTCGATTTTACCTCACGCTGGAGTCCATCAAAACGGTGACTATCTTTAGTTTACATCTGGGGGCCCCACTTTCTGTATCTGAGTCCTGCGTTGCTCACACTCACTAACGCTGTACTTCATGCATGTGGTAGCACACAAACATACACAGTTAAGGAAAACCTGGTTCATGCCGGGTTATTAGAAGCTGGGGAGAACTTTCCAAACTCAAGGTGCTTCACGTGCCCCTTTCCTCCCCCTCTGCAGCCCTGCCAGCACAGCAGCAGTGCACTTTTTGAAATGGTACCTGATGCTGGATTGCACAGGTAAGCGGAAAGACGCCTGTGTCGCACACTGCTTTCAAAGAGCAAAGCGAACTGCGCCGCAGTGTTCGACAGGGCAGAGTCAGAGTGCAGGTGCAAAGCGCTGCGTCAGGTCAGATGTGCTGTGTGTTAGATGTGTGAGCATTTAATCCTGCTCAGCTCCGTGCTTCACGTACTTCCACGAAGGAGAGTCGGGAGGGAGTGGCTGCAGCATTCAGCTGTCCGCTTCAGCAGGCTGCTCTGGCTTTGGATGGGTCTCTTGGCTATTGCTGATCTGCACTTTTCTGCTCTCACCATCCATATAAACATGGTTGCCTCTGCTAATGTGTCTGTGAGGAGTCTTCCCTTTGCAGGGTTTCTCAGTCCCATCACATATGAAGGTCTCCTTAAATACAATTAACGCTTCATGGAGTCTAGAGCAAGCTTATTACCTGAAATAATTCTGTGTGGCCCTCTGTGGTTAGTTTTACACACAGAAAGTTCACAACAAGCTGTCACCCACTTCAAGGAGCTCAGAGCCAAATCCTTTGCCAGCACAATTTGGACATGGAGATGAAAAAGTCAATTCATATTCAAGTATTAGTGAATGACAGACTTACGATAAGGAAGCAAGCACCGATCATGACAGCTTTCATTTTTACATCAAGGTCCATTGGGAATGTGATTCCAAAGTTATCTGCATCTGTAAAGGCTTCTTTCAAAAACCCAGTCCACTGCTTAGAAATCCTCCCAACAGTACAAGTCTCATCCACAGACTTCACCTAGTTTAATATAAAATTTAAAAACCATCAAATCCGTCATTCATAGTATTCCCAAATCCTTTCACGATAGATCCATTTGAAAGCTTCAAATTGTGTTATTTGAAATCATACAGTCATTGAATGCAACTGTTTGTACCAAAAGGCAACCCTGACTATAAGAAAGTCAGTCTTAAGTAGCACAGGCATGAACTTAATCCTAAATCTGACTGTGGGGTTTAATGCTTTCATGGTGTTGGAAGACAGCTACCACAGGCACACACACACACGCTGCTGGAAGCGTTGTCTTTTAGCCAAGAGAGTGAGTAAGTTTCTCCTGCCATCTATCGGGAACTGCTCAAGTGAAAATCAAACATTATTCTGTTCCAAAGCAGAGATTAGCCCTTTGTCAACATTATGTTTCCTAAAGTTAGATCCAATCTTCAGGGTCATGTGAAAGACTAGTCCCCAAAATAACACAATACTAAGTTTGTTTTAGCAACTATTTGCATCATTATTTTAAATATTAAATGGCAGACTAGTGTGTCTACTACTTAATGTGTACAAAAAGAATGATGCATTAATCACTATTATTTTCAAGTGAAAGTTGTAACTCTTCAGTCATTCAAATTTATACTTTAGGTCTATATTATCTTGTTTTACTTGGTCACTGAATGATTATTAAATGCTTAAATGAGTGGTTATAGGAAGTCATTTTAATAAATACCAGATACAGCTGAGAATAACATTTTTTTTGTTAGGGCCTAACTTAATAGATTAAAAAAGATTTTGCTGCTAAATATTTCAGTCAAGAGATTTGTGCGCAGCCACGGGGAATTAGTTACGCTGACCACTGACAAGTGGCTTCAAGACGCCATTTCTGGAAGTTTGTCTGGCTTATCTAGCGTAACCTAGCTACCTAGAGAAGCTAGTTGTTTATACTAGCATTAAAAGATTATGTACTAATTACTTAATATATACTACAGTTCAGTTGACAGGTAATAAGTCAAGCAATAAACTACTATTGAACTACTATCTGAAAGGCGATACATACAAACAGTTTTTACTATTGCATACCTCAAAATTAATGTCCTCGCAACAGCTGCAGACAACACATGGGCCAATAATTCTCAGTATATCCATTCTTCTCTCATCTTGAATGGTAAACTTTGGCAGGCAGGCGTGCCAGTTCTGGACAACGTAACCAACTGGTGTTCCTGGAGGCGCCTGAACTTCCAGCTTCACAGGAAAAAGAAAACCTCCATGTGAACATTCACGCTTTGATATGCTTGTTAGACAAAACCCACACTAGCACACAAACCGAACACAACTTATTTTTCCACAACAATCTGGCTTTCCAGTGCATGAAGCTGCATGGGGCTTTCTGTGAATATTTTCAGAAAACTGCACACAAATTGCAGGCCTCATATGCAACTTTTGCCTTCACTGAAAACAGTAAGATACTCCTAAGGCTGTGGAGCACACAAGCTGTGCACCTACAGTATAAAGATCAAGGTATAGTGAAAGAAAGGCTGTGAGCATCCTGAAAACATTCAGTGAAGACATTACAGGATGCAGCTACTATAAATCCTGCACTAAGAGCTCTGAGTAGGCTCCGATTTGAGGTTTCAGAAGTTGCATCACCCCATAATTATTTTAATATTAAAAAAGCTCATAATCTCATGTGTTGAATTTCACTATAGCTTTCACAGCAGTGAAGTGAAAACTCTAGCTGTTATTTTATGAAAGCCACTGCCTAACTCTTATATTGCAAGTCCATCTCCAGTGCAATTTCAGCACTAGCCACAGGTTCCCTGCCATGCTGCTGAATCAAATTTTTCACTACCATAATCAGAATTGGAGAGAGTGAATCTAAGTGCTGCAGCACACTTGCTCTTCCCAGACCACGGACCTCATGCACAAATCCCACAGATCTTTCTCCCCATGACCTGACTTGTTTCACCTTGCATCCCGATTTAGGACAACCCCACCTTCAAACTGCACAGGTGGACCACGTCCCACATGAAGGAAGATTGTGGGAGGGAGCAACTCACCTCCTGTAAGCAGCAGGGAAAGCAGCACGAAGAACACCGGAGGGGTCTCTGCAGGGTTATCACCTCATGGCCCAAGTTGTCTATAATCCGGAGGGTGAAGGGCCGTGATGGCCCACAGCAATTCCTGGTACAGCAGTCAGTGTCCTCTGCTGCAAAGTACACCCTTTGCCCCAGTGTATTCTTGATTTCATATTTGTTGTTTGTTTCAAAGCCAGTCAAAACTGAAAAATAGGAACAGAACTGTTAAATTTCTGAGGTGCGTCTGGTCAGGAAAGTCACCATGCTAACTCTAAAGCTACCCTTTGGGAAGGTAGGCCTCCCTCAAAGTCTGTCAGAGGCAGCTGCTGGTGAAGGGAAGCACCATCGAGCAGAGCAGCCGGAGAAGTTCCCAGAGGAGAAGCCACAATGAACATGGCAACGTGGAAAGAGCACAGAGATGTCCATCAGTCCCCTCCCACCAGACACAGACACCCGCTGCCAGAGCAAGCACCACAATTATAAATAACAGAGCATGTTATTTTTTTATATATATATACATATATATATATAATTCTTCCCAGGGAAGAGCTGAAGGGGTGAGAATTAAAGAAACTTGTAAATTTGGGAGAGAAGCGAGAGAAGGGCTCTAGATATGCAAAATACGTTCAGAATGAGGCAGCCACAAAAAAAGCCTCACAGTCAAGATTCACAGCAGCACAAACAGAAAACAACAAGAGCCAGGACGGAATCATAGAAACATTTAGGCTGGAAAAGACCCTTAACATCAAGTCCAACCGTTAACCTAGCACTGCCAACTCCATCACTAAACCACGTCCCTAAGCACCACGTCTAGATGTCTTTTAAATACCTCCAGGGATGGGGACTCAACCGCTTCCCTAGGCAACCCATTCCAGTGCTTGACAACCCTTTCAGTGATGAATTTTTTTCCTAATATCCAATCTAAACCTCCCCTGGTGCAACTTGAGGCTGTTTCCTCTTGTCTTACTGCTTGTTACTTGGCAGAAGAGAAATTTTGATTAATTTCTCTAACAAATTAAAGTACTCTCTGAAGCATTATGGAAAGAAAATGCAGCAGCATTAGGTGTCAGCTGAGATGGATGGTCCATTTTATTTCTTCTATTTGAAAGACCCTGATAACATGACTTTGATATTCTTAAAGCGAACGAAATGAGGGGAGCAGGAAGAAAGCAGTTCAATTTGCTAAAACAGCAGGATTGCCTGGAAATGGAATCAGAGCCGCATGCCAGTCTATGGAATTAGATAGAGTAAGAGAGGACAGAAAAGAAGATCTTTAAGTTGGGAAGAGAGGCAAGTAAAAATCATGTGAATAAATGACATGTGGAACGTGTGACTTCAGCTGCAACTAGGTACCAAGATTATTCAGTCGTATTGCTATGTATCTTTTAAGATATAGAACCTGCTTAAAAACCTCTGCCCTCCTATTTTCTCCTTCCTCTCCTCCACAACTTCTGCAGAAATTGAGACAGCTAACAGAGGCAGGGGAGAGAAAGGTGTTGATCCACCTTAAATACATAGTGTCAAAGAAAGTCCACATTTTACCATTCTTGGGATTATTAGATTTAAACATTTCTCTGCTATAAATACTTCGCACTTACTCTCAAGAAGTTCAATTTGCTGATGAATTAATATCTGGTCAATCTGTTTGTGGTTGAAAAATTAAACAGAATAAATAGTTAGCAAGTTGTAACAAAGAGAAATCTAGTTTTAAGAAGCACTGCTGTTTCATTTTGGAATGCAGATTTATGGATCAATACATTGTCTAGAGGCAGATCATAGAATCATAGGACCATAGAATGTTTTGGGTTGGAAGGGACCTTTAGAGGTCATCTAGTCCAACCTCCAGCATCTACCGGTAAAGCTGTGGAAGTAGCTCATGTCCCCCCTGTCCTGACCTCTGTCAGTTTAGCAGAACAGTGTTTCAGGGCTAGCGGGCCTGTGCTCATTTCAGGACTCGGTAGCTCAGCTGCAGAGCCTGACAGAGCCTCTGACACCACATATCCCAGATGCCTACATCAGGGGTCCGTACAGACAAAAGCAGAAAACTGAGAAATTTTAGAGCAGAAGCTCAGTTACTGCTCAGCTCCGAGTGAAACTCAGGAAAAAACAGCCTCTCCTCACTGGTGGGTTGTGGGGTTTTTTGAGCAGTTTGCAAAACTAGCAACAATACGTCAGGGTTAAGCCTTGATATTTGCTCCCAGTGATAAGATGAACTGTACTTTTACACTACAAGGACATACTTGGTAATGTGGTGACAATTCTTATTTTGCTATTAGCATTCTCTACGTTGTGCAGTCTGACTAGCGCCTCTCCTAACATCATCATGAAGAGGTGTGAAGAAAGCATCATGTAGAAAATTAAGCACCTCTAATGTGTTCAAGTCGCCCATATTATATGTATTTATTATATATACCTCACCAAATCACATTACATCTCACAAAGAGTAGCATCAGAGATGGGAAGGATGTACGATAGCCTGTGCCCCCGGTCCTTGAGCATATCACTTGGCAGGAGCGTACTCCATGAACTGTTTGCAGCCATAACAGGCACCTCCATGCTCAAACATGCATCAATCGCATTCCAAAAGGCTCCACTTAGCAGCCCAAAAGCAGCAACCCACACAGCTGCAACAAAGCCAGATGCTTTTTTTAGCTTTTTCACAGATGCAGGCTGCTTCTCAGGTGAATACCTGTTCTCTGGGGAAGGAGGAAGGATGCAGGTACCTGTGTGAGGTATTCCAGTCCAGAAGGGCAGCTGGGAAGAGAGGGAGGGACAGGCATCCAGATTGTCTCCTCCTTCACGACCGGCTGGTTCTGGATGGGTGGAACAGCAACTCCAGCTGGGACTCCCATGGCCTGTACCTGGAAGCCATACCTCCCCGCGCCTGCGCCACCTGGTGCAGTAGGAGACATGCCGTTGTGAAACTTAGACACTGGAAAAGAATTGCCCCATGGATCTTCAAAAGATGTATTTGTTCACTATTTTGAATTATGAAGATCCTTATACCTACAATATATTTCAGTTATGAAGGCTACAACTTTCATGAAGGAAGTTACACTGGATTGGGATGTTCTAATCCCTCCAGACAAAATGAAACAAAATAAATAAATACATTGTTCTTGAATATAACAGAAATTTTATTCAGACAAAGATAGGCTATTCAAAAACTAGAAATAAATAAATGAAGGCTATTTCTAAGCAGAGATGACAGAATACCTTAAAATACATGAAAAGTATTGGCATTTACTAGTTGCCAGTTGAGCAAACGAGGAATTTTAAGACAAAGTTTTCCTGGAATTGTACCTTCTACTTACATGATAGGAAATGTCCTTTTAGCAAAGTTCATCTGCAGTTTTCAAACCAGATGACTGTGATCTAAAAACTGCACTTTCCCATTTGTTTAATAGATTCTCTGTCAAAACTCAGGAAATCCACAACTCCTTCGTGGAGGAGGTGCGTAGTGAAGGACGAAATAGTCCATGTTTTGTGAATGCCAAGTAAGCCTTCGCCAGTTCGCACTCAATAGGAAACACAAGCTCTCATGAAGCGCTTTCAGGGTCTAAATGCTCAGCACCCCACCAGATGGCACACGCAGCGCTGCCGTAGTGCTCACAACCCATCCCGTCCCCAGGGTTTTGTGCGTAGAGCCCGGCCTTGCCCGAGTACGGTCCCGCAGCAACACCGTCTTTGCTAGAGAGATGCTTTATCACCTTGTAGCTGAAGCGGCTGAAGTTGCTATTAAAAGTTACAGAACAAGAACTGTATTTTTTTCCCTCATTTAATACTTTCCTGGTAGGCAGATAGGCTTTCAATCTGATGCAGAGGAATTTTATATTTTACTCAGAAGCAAGCACAACACAGAAGCCACAAAGAGTATTTTTGTAGATCTGTACGAAGACAAGCAGTTTGAGATACCGACTTGTAGACTTATCTTTAGCCCAAATCAGTTCAGCACCAGTGTTTCACACTACATTAGAATACATGGACTGTCACATGTGAGAGTTCACGCTGTGGCCATAAGCAGGACGGCACCTCAGGCGATGTAAACAGCTGTGGCTTAAAAGCCATAGGTGGCAGGATCACTTATTCTAGACAAGGATCCACCCTTACAGAATACAAAATCTCTTTTATATCTGAGCACAGGCTTTGCACACAAACTGCCTGTCTGCTGCTATGGTGTGTAAGTGTGCGCACATACAATTATTCAAAACAAAAAATGCTCCCCTGACCTTCATCGCACAGGCAGCACGTGCTCATTCCGTGCTGAAGCGAACCATACTCACAGACCTCAGATTGCCTTGCCGCAATGCACTTTATGCAACTTACTCTTTGAGCCTGATTGTGATTTGGTTCTTCAGAAAGAAATTAGTTGCCAGAACATGAGAAGCTATTTAGGAGTGCTGTATTTTGAACACAGAGCAGAAAATGACATAGAAGAGGAGAAAAGCAAACAAGTGAAACCATAAGGTTGCGAAGTACAGCAACAGAGTAGGAAACAGGCAGAGAATACATGGACCAACAGAACTGCAAGAGGAAAACAATTTTTTCTTCAGTTCTGGATTTCTAGAGAAAAATAAAGAGAAATACTGAAATAACATGTTAATTAAGAAATCTGATCACCAGCAAGAAGCTACCACACATTAATCGCTTTGCATCAATAACACCTTCCTAACAAACTCCCCACAGTGACCACTGAGGAACAGCCGACGTGTTTAACTCCCACCACTGCTGGTACTGCTCAGCACCTAAGATGACTTTTCAGCAAGAGAAAAATTAACAGAAACTCTACAGAATTAACAGCAGAAAAGTAAATGAGAGATGGCCACCCTTGTGAAACCTCCTATTTCTTGTGCTTATTTCCAAACGGTATAGCAGGCGCGTAGCCAAGCAACCTACCTTGGTAAGCCCCAGGTGCCTGCTGAGGGTACCCATAGGGAACTGGATTTCCTGGCGCATAGTTAGCGTTTGAAAATCCAAGTGCTGGTGCAGGGTTATGTGCTGGAAGAATAGAATATACACTCTGTTTGAATATTGCTCGGTCCCTCCTACCCTAGGGTGAAAGATCCCCAACATTGCCTCCTTTTTCAGAGTAGACACATAACAAAATTAAGCAGCTGTTTTCTGTATAGCAAAAACTGTTCAACGAGCTCATATTTATGCACAATACATACATTAAACATCAGAGTAACTTAAAGGAGTTCTGATCCTTAAAGGGCAGAAAAAAGGCCGGTATTGCACATGATGTCATGAAGATGTCACAGAATCATTTAGCTCGGAAGGGACCTCTTGAGATCACCTAGTGCCACCCCTGCTCAAGCAGGGTCAGTTCACTGGTCTGTCTGGACCAGAGGTGCCTTTGTTCATTTATATTTAGAAGGAGGCTTTAATTCAAAGTATTGCCAGGGAACTGACAAGGCTGCCCCCCCTGTACAGAACAGGCTGGTAATGAGCCATTTTCCATTAGAAAAAAACATTTTCTCCCAATTTCTTCAAGTTAGGGCTATACTAATGCCTCACCAGCAAACTCAGAGGGTTATGGATTTAAAAACATTTACCAAGTTCAGTTTGTAAGCAGAAATAACTTAGATTTCAAAATTATTTATTTTATTTAACATAAGAAATCAAGATCTGAAAACGTAAGCTGTATGTTCCATAAATGATTCAATTTTACAGTGTAAATTTCAATTTAAAGCATTCATGTATATTTAATAAAATTAGAAGGTAAATGAATAGCTAAGCTAATATTGCTTGAACACCTTGGAAGGATATTAACAAAAGATGACATTTTGTCAATATTTTACTCACCTTGCATTGCCGTGGATCTGTTTACAATTGTTCTGCAAAACAACATTTTTATTTCATGGGGTTTTAATATATAATTTCACACAAGAGTTATTCAGAGTTCTCTATTTATTACTGATAAAAGATACTTACCTGTCTAAACTGTATGGGAAAGCCAAATTACAAATACAAGTTAAAATAACTTTAAATATCTCAGCTTCCTTCTAGGCTATGTCTCCGCCACAACATAAATCTGAATTATCTATGCCTGCATTCATTCTTTGAGCATCCTAAATCCTCCTCAGCTCAGAGGAAAGCATCGAGATGTGCAGTTATTTCACTGCAGTGCAGGACTCCATTGGGCAGCCATTCAGAAACATCATGCAATTCATGTGAACACATTACTGCAGTAATTTCAGAGCAACTGGCTTAGCGTATTGATGTTGACTACAAAACCTGCTTGGGTAAACCCTGGAGCAGCCATGATGCCATGCCACGGGTTCTTTATGCTATTCCGCTTCTGAAGCGGTACTACTAAATATCATGTATCCAATTTTTGTCTCCACACAGTAATAAAGGGTGGGCCTGCACAGGCGAGTGGGCTTCCACAGCAGAGTATCATGAGTGAAAGGGCCAACTGCTTGTCTTTTCCTTTCTATTCCTCCAGGATTGCCAAAAGGAGTTAAAAAAAAAAAAAAAAAAAAAGCAGAAAGAACATTTACTGATGCCAGCATCAACCTTGAGAGATACCCCTTTCAGTCTCTGGGGTAACTAGAGAAGCAAGACAACGGCAGCAACTTCTATTAAAGACAGAGCTCCAAAATAGCCAGAGAGACGTAAGTGGAAGTACAAAAAAGAATGGCATAGGAGCTCCTTTTTATCAAAAGCTTTAAAATAAGCAATAAACCTAGTTATTCTTTAAAAAGAATGCAGTTCAAGTTAAACTAGTAATACATTTTGTCTGTTACGGTTCTTCCAACTAGTTCAGTTCAGTGAAGATGGCCATGCAAAGCTGGGACTGAAATCGAAACTGAAAGCTGTTCCTTCCTACTTTTCACTCCCAGAGTAAAAGCAGATGTCACGGGTGGACGGTTACTTGTTCGGGGCTGAAATGGCATCTAGCCCACTTCCCAGCTCCTACGCAACATCCTCTTTCTTTAATAAATTGGTCTCCAAGGGTTCCTTTTTTAATGTATTTTTCCTTCAACTTTATGAACTTTACTATCAAAAACACCACCCCGTTTTACGTACTTTAATTAGATTCTGGCCCCCATATGAATACAAGTTAAAAAAAAAAGTAATAGGAAATAATTTAGAATTATGCATCTAATTTAAAAATCTGAAACACATTCAAACTACATAAACCTCCTTCTCACAGTTGCTAATATAGAGTGACAAGTTTAATATATGACCATATTAAAATATAGACAATGTTTAAATATGTTTGTAGGGATAGCACAAGTTAAAGATTAACAACAAAAACGTTATTTAAACTAGCAAAAGATCAGTTTATACTGTGAGGTGTTCCAGCTACCTGAACTTCAGTGAAATACTGAGAATTACAGCTGAACCCTTTAGTAAAGAGAGAGTATCATATGGCCATATCCAAATCCTACAATTTGTTTAAAAGAAAGGCTTTACAGTAGCCCAGAATCATTTTTCTCCCTATAACCACACATAAACGCCACTGTGCAATCTAGGATTTGGGAAATGTTGGTATGCTCTATAGCTAGAAAAGCAACAAATACTTTACAAAGTTCAACTCCCATTTCATCAGACATGATGCTAAAGAGAATAGTTAAGATAATTTATCAAAATTGCCTCTTTTCTTCTACCGCTTTTTAGCTAGACTCCTACCACCTCCAGTTTAGTCACCAGAATTAACACATTGTCAGTCATGCCCTACTTTTCATCTGAATAATTTATAAAGATTGAGAAATAACATGAAATTCTGAAATACCAAAGGAATGAGGAACAAAAAACCTCACTTTTGTCAGCCTTTATATGGCACAATATATTGTTCAGCCGCATCATTATGCATGGGGCAATTGGCACCTTGTGAAACCTCAGTCACGAAACAGCAGCAATGGGAAGACCAGCCACTTAGTAACGCGTTGGTTCCAGCTGCCTGCCTTACATAAAGCAATGATCTGAAGCCTACGTTTTCATCTCAGTTTAATGAAATGAGGCTTTACATGCTACTAGGTGTTACTAGTTCTAGTAACAGTTTTAAAATAAATGTAGGGAACAATCATCAAAACATTACTTACTTAGAAAGGAAAAGTGAAGGTATTTGCATTTAGCTCCCACCAATACAAAAGAGGGAGAACGCTATTTCTTTGTAATGGAGTTAAAATTCCACAGAATTAAAGAAAAAAAGAAAGAGAGTGCTTCAGCAAGTAGAAATCCATTTTTGAATTAATTTCGGTTCAACAAAAACAGTAGCTGCATGAATCCCTTGTGCTACGCTGGCCACATGCTGCAACCTGATTTCACAACACAAATGGAGAGTAAGGTGTGTCGGAGCGAATAAACTGGCCGTGGTGTTCCAGAAGTAGCTGTGTATCTTTGTGCACATCTTCTAAAAAGCTTTACAAGGCCCTGAGCAATCTGATCTAAAATTTAATTTAGGCTGGCTTTAAGCAGAGGAATGGACCAAATTACCTCCAAAGGATTTATCCCTTCCAGCCTCAGTAATGCTAAGATTATAAGGGTCCTTCACATTTTATTACAGTACCTAGGGTATTTGCTGATCAAACATTCCCCAAAATCCCCCAGCTGTAGTGCTGAGGGCGAGAGGAGGGTGGGGACCAGGCTCTGGCTCCCAGCACCTTACCCCTCACTGGGGATATTTTGGGTTGGGGCTACACAAGAGAGCCTGTGCCAGGAAAAGCCACTGAGTTTTGCCCTTTCCTGATGGATTCCTGTAGTAACTCATGGCTTTGGGTCCACTCTCCCAAAGGGAGTACAGACGAGATACAAATATCGTCTCTGAAGGAGGGTTCAACTTTACACAAGCAAAAGCAGAAATGATTTTGCTACCAGAAAGGAAGTGCCAGGGGAACTGGGAACGCTTCATGCGAAGTGGCTGTCTAGCAACGAGTAACCCTTATGAAATACAGTCTCTGGATGGCCTGCGGCCCCCCTGCTGCACCTGTGCACTGGCGGTGGGAAAGGCGAGTGCTGCCCACCGCCCCTCCTGTAACACACAACATGA